ATAAAAAAAATTGATACTTTTTTTCAATCAGTTTCTGGAAATATTAGATCATCACAACTAATGCCGATCAATATAAAGACAGACCTACATACACATTTAGAAAAGCTTAATCAATTATGTTCAGTAGGAAAATCTAAAAAAGAAAACCGCGATATATTTACCTATGATTATATATGTCTATTAAGTGTACGCCAATTTATACAGAAATTATTAGATGGACAAAAAAATGGCCGCCAGTAATCAAATTGCTCAAGATATGTGGAATAAAAGAGATTATATGGCTCGATGCATTAGAAAATGGGAAAGTCATTTTATACGAACTGGTAAACTTCCTGTTCATTCTCAAGGAAGACATATGAAAATCGAAAGCCTACTGGATGATGAAGATTTTGTTGAAGATTGCAAAGTATGGTTATGACAGCAGGCACCGGAAACACGTTCCCCTTATAATCTAAAGATATATATTGAAGAAACATTATTTCCAAAATTAACAGGAAACATTAAAAAAGATACCATTTCTGAGAAGACATGTCGAAATTATATATGCCTATGGGGATATAAGTACGATGAAAGGAAGAAGGGTATTTACTATGATAGACATGAAAGGCCAGATGTAGTAGAATATAGAAAAGAATGGTTAGAGAGAATGTTTATATATAAAAAATGTATGAAAGAGATTGATGGTGATATGCTAGACATTGTATTGGAACCCAACCTTAAACCGGAAGAAAAAGAACTTGTCCAAATTACACATGATGAATGCTACTTCTACGCAAATGATGGATGACGGAGGATTTGGATTGGAGAAGAAGAAGATATTTTACGCTCAAAACATTTGGGACGTTCTATAATGGTTTCGGGTTTTCTTTGTGCATGTCATGGGTCATTACAACTATCTGATAAGCAATTACAGGAAAATCCGCATATTAAAGATAAGAATGCTTATATCCTTCGTTCTATACAAGCAGATGGATATTAGACCTTGGAGCATATGGGAGCGTTTCCAGTAAAATCACATTACGGATCATATGATTTACTATGCCTTATGACTTGATTTTACTGGAAACGTTCCCATATGATAGAGCAGGTTTGATTATTATTATTTTTTTTAAAAAAAAGAAAAATAATGAAAAAAGAAAAATTTAAAACTTATCTTATTTTTTTACAATACAGCTTATACAAAAAGCAGTTCCGATATTTGAAATATTGCATCCCAGATGCATTGGTGTTTTTTGTTTCGATCAGTCAACTAACCATAATGCTATGGCAGAGGATGCACTGATCGCAACGAAATTGAATTTAGGACCTGGAGGAACACAACCTAGAATGTGTGATGGGTGGTATATCAATGAATCTGGTGATAAAAGTATATAGTCAATGGTATTTTCAAATGATTACCTAGTAGAGAAACTAAGAGGAAAACCTAAGGAAATCAAAAAAGTGCTTGATAAACGTAATTTTTGGCCTATGGAGAGGATTAATTTAATGTGCAAAAAATGTTCTGGAAAGGATACTGATAATGACCCAATAAGACTGAACTGCTGTGCACGACGAATAATATCTTTACAACCCGACTTTCTTGGACAACTGTCAGTATTAGAAGAAATTATTGTTAAATCAGGGCATATTTTCGAACGGTATCCAAAGTTTCATTGCGAATGTAACTTTATAGAGTGATACTGGGGCTTTCTGAAATGAGAAACTAAAGGATCATGTAGCTACAACTACGCGGACTTATTGGAACTTGTTCTCAAAACTCTTAACAATGTTCCTATTGCGACCATTCGCAAATTCGCACGTAAGTCATGGAGATACATAGACGCATATAACAGAGGGCTGGAGGGTAGGACTGCTGAATGGGCTGTTAATAAGTATAAGTCATACCGCCGACTATCTGAAAACATCAAAAAAATAATGGACGATTAGTAAGATAATGGCATTATAATAAAGAAATTAAAACAAGTTTAATACTTAGCTTTTAGATCATTCTCTCCAGCTTTGCTCTTTCTCAATATTCCTAATCTCTCTAACCGAAGACTATCTTTACTTTTAAAAGTATGTTCTTGAAGTAATTCAAAGTTCATTTATATATCATACATATTTCCGGAGGAAGATTTGTTTCGAAATAAAATGAAAAACTCAAATGACTAAACGTGACGATTTCTAAATTAACCGCATTTGGTTACACAAAATACTAATTTTTCATTGGTTATGTTTGGTTACGTAATAAAAGATCATCGCAAAAAATTTGAAACAATTGTCAAGTTAAAACTTCCGGCACCATATGATATCGAATTGACATCGTAACTTTATTGTATCTATATTATATCAATACCATTTCGATATCAATATCGATATCGTATTAATATCGTATTTACATCGAAATGATATAGTAGATAAACTTAACGACCTCAATTCGATTATCGTCAAAGTATGGTAAAGTTATCGTTAGAATTTTTTGAGTTTCTGTAAAGTATAATTAATATCATTATATATAAAATCAATATCAAAGAAAGGGTTATCTTCTAATGTAATCATTTCATCTCTAATATTATAAAAGTTGAAATTAATACAAATAAGTTAATTGATTAAAGATTCTAATTCAAAAATATTACCTAACTTATAGAAACTTTATATCTATTGATCCACTATCTTCTTCTTCACTGCTATTATCAGTTATTTTAAAATCCTTATTTTCTTTATTAAAATTTTCATCAATAATTTCATTTGATATATCACAGGTTTTAAATGACTGAACAATTATTTTATTAGAAATATTTTCCTATGAATATTTGACCTATTTACAAATATTACTTAACTTTGCATGTTTAAGATTTTCTCTAACAGTTAGTCAAGCACTATCACTTGCTATCCACAGATGTTATTCTTTATAAAAGTTGTCCTTAAATGTTTATTAATAGTGACATCTAGTGGTTGACATATACTTATCAAACTATCCAAAATTACTGCTAAATTTAATCCACTATCTCTAAATTTTTTTTAACTAATTCTTCTAAATAAATCATAAACCATTATCATTAGAGTTTTAGGTTTGCCATTACTTTTTTATAATATTATTGAAGTAATCTAAAAATTGGTTAAATGTTGATAAGAATATTTCTAAAAAAAGGTTAGAAAATAAAGAAAATAAATGTTAAATATTTGATGCTTCAAAAAATTCACATGAAAGTAAAAAAAAATTAGTAAAATAAAAAAGTAAAAGAAAGACAGTTAGTAAAATGTAAAAGTAAAAGAAAAAATTAGTAAATTAGAGATAGTAAAAGAGAGACAGTTAGTAGGATAAAGAAAATTAGTAGAGAAGAAATAAGTAAAAATGAAAAGGTGAGACATTTAGTAAAGAAGTAGAAACAGTTAGTAAAAAAAAAGACATAGTAAGTATTTGTTAATATTAATATTAAGATAAAGGGATTTCAAACTGAATAATTTTCATCAAGAAATGAAAAGGATTTTTTGTTTATTTTTTTTTATCATATTATTAAGCGAATTTTAATTAGTCAATTTATAAAATCTGAAAAATTATGATTACTTATAACAAAATATATATTTTATATATTTTAATAAATAAACAATATTTTAATAAATATTATGTAAAAAATTTTTGTCAAGGAATGAATAAAATAAATAGATTTTGCTTATTTATTTTATTTTATTTTTAAAGCACAGTAGTTTTACAAAAACTTTATTGAAAAATAATTAAAAAAATTACATATATTCAGAATTTAAAAAATCTCTATTTAAATAATTATAAAACTATCTAAATCAAACTGAATTATGTTATCATATTTTAGCAATTAGAAAAGAAAAAAGGCTTGGCCCCTACTGCATCAAAAATTTGACTAATGTGACCCTAATTGGACCATTTTATCTATTAGTGAAAATGAAGAAAATGTATTATGTGATTTATTAAAGTCGTAACCTGTTGCATTAATATATATTTTTTGAGCGAATCTGTGATGTCAACTAAATCTTTAAATTTTTTAAAAAGTATGCATTTTTCCTGCTAAATCATCTGAGTTAGCTTGAAAATATGATGCATGAAATTAGATATAGCTGCTTTAGCATCATCTTGTGAAGTGATTGATGAGTTAATAAATTTGAATGGAACAAAACCTTTAATCAAATCTATAAAGGAAAAGGAGGTATATGAAAATAAGAATCATATATTTAGCTGATCAATACTATCAATATTATTGTGACCCTGAGTTAGTTGAGCGAGATGTTATTTTGATAACTTGATGATATTGCATATTTGCTGATATACTGTAATGTACATCCATATGTGTGAAAAGTTTTCATATTTTATGTTGCATAATAAGCAAGTCCATGAATTGTGAAAAAGCACTGAGTGTTGTATTTTGAGTACTTCAAGAATTGGCAGCATCTTCAGGAGTCTTTGGATTTTCTTTCATTTTATTGAGGAGGCAATATAATTGATAGCAGATAATGCAATATTGTCAGAGATATAAAATGCGGTAGTTATCTAGTCCATCTCTGTTGATATATATTTACTATTGATATTGAGATTCAATAATATCTTTAAAGTATCAGCATATAAATATTCTTTGATGAAAAAACGAATTGGAGTTGAGATAATGAAATCATTAAATTTGAGCATGATATGAGTTTGATCATTAACCATAAAGTGCAATACAGGTAAGAATAAAGCATCTTTTGTCAATTAATCAACTTTTTCATTAGCAAAATTACCTGAGTATACTTTGTAAAGATGGTACAGCAATTGATTTCAAATTTACAAAATGTTGCAACATAAGCTAAAATTAGTTGCAACATATGTTGCAACATTATAAGTTGTAACATATATAGATTAAAACTAATTGCAACATAAGTTGCAACATTAAAAGTTGCAACATATTAATTACAGTTCCCATCTTTAGTGCTTTGACTTTGTGGAGAGAGACAAAAAGTGATAAAGTGTTAATAATTTGAAAATTTTCGTTCCATAGATAAATGTTGATGATTTTTAAGAATGGTTGTTAAGAAAGAGATATTAATGATAACAATTTATATTTGTTAAATTGAAAAATTACTGTACTTGAGTCAGTATAGATTTTGACCTGACAATTTGGGATGCAGTAGGGGCAAAAGAAGGGTTCTGGAATAAAAATCCAAAAGATATTTAGAAAGGTTTTCTGATCGTCCACGAATCCATTTTAAATATATGAATTAAATTATCGAATTTAAACCTCTAGCGTAATTTAACTCAAATATAGATAATAAAATCGAACTTGGTTAGGAATTAACCTTCAGATATCAAGAATTATACTGTTTGATTTATCTATTCTAGCCTGATTTTAATCCTAAATAATATATTAAAAAATTTTTACTATTCTGTTTGCCTTAGGAGGGGCTATTGAAAATCAAGGAATAAAGTGACGTGATCAAGAAACAAAGTGATGCGATTTGAGCTAGACCTGATTATGCAAGCCTAAAATGCATATAATATGCTAAGTCTAATTTCAAAGAGGTTTGATTTAGCTGTTATCTAGTTTGCAAATCAAAAGCTTAATGATTATGTTTTAGCACGTTATCAATTTATCAATATACAGGAAACCATTCTAAAGCTATTTCGTTTATACAATCCTAGAACAAAAAATTACACATTTTGACTACCTATATTATAAATCTAACCATAAAAAAAAGTCTAACCTCTCAACTAACTATATAATAAATCTAACTTTTACAAAAAGTCTAACCTCTTGAACACATATCAAACATCAGGGCTTTATCCTGAAGTTTATTAATATATTGAATCATATAATAACCCTTAATATGAAAATGACAACAATCACAAGATGATCCAGTAGGCTTACCACATCCTGATTCTATGCAAGGCTGGCGCTTTTTAGCCTTATTTTCTCATAATTTTTAAAAAAAAGTAATTGAATATTAGGTGACATGAATAATTAATTTAAATTGAGCAAAAGTTTACACATATATTAGAGGTTAGACTTATTATAGTATCATGGTTAGAAAAGATAAAAAAAATCGTAAATGTATTTGCTGTAATAAGACTTTTGCCACATCTCAAAAACTTCGTCAGCATTACAAAAGTAATAAAAATCAATGTAGATTAACTCCTGATGATATACCAAAGCAAACTTCAGCTTCTGAGACATCTAGTCAAAAGGAGAAGCCAAAAGTGATTAACAAAACTCCTGATTCTGAAGCAAATCCTAGCCAATCAACTCAAGCTCATAAAGAGGAATTACCATCTAGTATTGAGATGTTTAATGAAGAATATATGAAGGAATTAATTGGTAAGAAAGAATCTAGTGAAGTTGAGTGATAAGACACTTAGAAATATATTAAGGGAAAGCATTTCCGGTCAATTTATGAAGAAGCAGAAGGAATTTATAAAGAAGAGGAACTACCTAATAATGATATAGTATTTTTAAAAAGAGAATGCAATCCTGAAAGACAATACAGCTCTCTTAATTGTATGACTGTATGGGAGGGGTTATTTCATCATGTAAAAATCCAGCATATGCATTCAATAAAGAGCAAGACAATTCAGATTAAGTGATCCTTCAGATTAGGCAAACTATACTATCAAATATCATCATCTATATTATAGAAGCTATCAACGTGAAATTCTTTCTGAGTAATATATAGATGAGCATATAACCAATCTGGTATAGAAATCAATCAAAAGATCGAAAGCTATTTGAAAGAAGAATCAGATAAAACCCTTCTTTAATTAGAAATGATACTTATAGAGTTATATACACTTCGTCAAGCTTTTAGAGGATCTTATATCCATACACCAAAAAAGCTTGCCAATAAAAAATATACTATTAATCCAGATAATCAAGGACTTGTAGATCTAGTGACAAATAAACTATCTGAAAAGTGTCTTCAAGGTACTTTAGGTTATTATTTCACCCATCAGGATAGACATACAGATCATCTTGAATGAATCTTTCGAGCTATAAAATATAAACCATATTTAGATGTGGTCAAGTTCAATGAAATCCCAATGCCTACTCCAATTTGTTTACGAACATTTCAAAAGATTGAGGAGATGAATCCAGATATCTCTATAAATATCTGAAAGTGGGAAGAAGAAACAGGTACTCCTAAACCCATTCTTTATAGTAAAAACTATAACAGACAATATATTATCTATCTTATGACCCTTACAGATATTACAAAATCTGAAGAAGGAAAATATAGACAAAAGAATCACTTCCTTTGGATTAAGAATCTGGATGGGTTAGTATATAAGGATAATGCTAATAAAGTTAAAAAACATCTCTGTAACAGATACTTTCAAAGCTTTAGTGATACCTGACAAAATTACCTTTCTTAATATGACGAAATTGACGAAACTGAAATGATGAAACTAGTTTTTTATTAATGACGAAATTATTTTACTTAATTGCTGAAATTATATTTAACTTGATCTAAATTCCTTGAATTAAAATACATTAAAAAATATAATAATTTTATATTTATTTATATAAAAATATTAAAGAGACGAAACTTTTGACGAAATTACAATTTTTCAAAAAAGAGTTTAGTCAAGTATCACTACAAAGCTTCTAATCAATAAAATCCTTAGTCTATCATCAACAATAATGGTGTTTCAGATTGGGTGAAGCCTCACAGAGAGTCAGTATACTAGTAAGAGATGTTAATAATTTTGAAGAGTTCAGCAATTATAGCTATCATATTAATGCCTCATATGTTATCCTTGCAGATTTTGAGTCATTAAAGAAGAAGTGTGACACACATTATAGTGGAAATATGTGAAAGATAGCAGAGAAAAAGCTAATAGTTTTAGCTATAAAGTCCACTGGATTGATACTGGAGAAACATTAGACCCTTCTTATATCTCGGAAAAAATGCCACAGAAGAATTCATTTGAAGGATTGATCAAGAATTGGTAGAAATAAATAAGTCTTAGCTGTTAAGTATGAGCGTATTATTATAGATGACTACCAAAAAAGGTTTAAAGAGGCAGATAGGTGTTGGATCTGCTGTGAAGACAAGTTTAGTATAGATACAGATATGATTAATAAGTTAGAAAGAAAGATTGCAAATCTCACCGACAAACTTACAGAAATTGTTCAAGATCCTAAATCGTATAATAAAGGAAAAGTTCTTGAGGGTATAAAGGTAGCTTTACCTAGAGAGATATCAAAGAGAATCTGGGAAAAAGAAAAGAGTACCAAATCAGAAAAGGATCTCAAAAATCTCTATACAGAATTGCTAAAGGCTGTTAAGAATCCTGAAGACTATAAATCCTTAAAATTAGTAATCTCTAAAGCACAAGCTGAACTTGCTAGGGAAGAAGCTAAAGATAAAAAGGTTTGAGATCACTGTCATATCACAGGTGAGTTCTGAGGGGCATCCTATAATACTTGCAATCTTAAACTTCAGATTGAGCTATGGAAGATGCCAATCCCAATTATATTTTATAACTTCTGGGAATATGACTCTCACTTGGTTTGTAAATCTGTTAGACACTCAGGTAATTCTTTTCGAATTATTGTTATTGCTGAAACATTTGAGCGATACAAATCTATGAAGGTAGGCCAGCTTAAGTATATTAATAGTATGCAATTTATGAATTCTAGCTTAGCATCTCTTACAAAGAATTTGGGCAATAAGCATCCAATTATGACTGAGTATTTAAAGAAGCAAAGCTATTTTTCTGAACAGATTTCCTTAGCATATCACAAAGGAATCTTTCCTCATGAGTATATAGACTCTCATGACCGATTTAAGGAAACAGAATTACCTCTGATTAATGAGTTTCATAGTATCTTTGGAGGTAAGATTTCTCAAGATGATTATTAGCATGCTCAAAAGGTATAGAAGAAATTCAGATGCAAAAACTTAGGAGAATATAATGATCTTTATCTTAAGATAGACATACTTAGTCTAGCAGATGTTTGAACAACATTTAGAAAGACATCCATGCATCATTATGATCTTGATCCCAGCCATTATGTATCTGCACTTTCTCTATCTTGGGATGCTATGCTTAAGATGACCAAGGTCAAGATCGAGCTATTTACAGAAATGGCAATACATAACTTCATTGAAAAAGCAAAGTGAGGTGTATTGCTATGGTAGTACATAGACATTTTCAAGCAAATAATCCTAGCATGGGAGAGGAATTCGATCTATCTCAACCTATAACATAGATCTCCTATGTCGATGCAAATAATCTTTATGGCTAGGCCATGAGCCAATTTCTTCCAATTGGAAATTATAAGTGAGTTGCTAGTCAAGAATATCTAAAGAATAATCCTAAGATACAAAAGAAATATCTTGAAATGATACTCAAGACTGAAGCAGATGCATCACGTGGATTCTACTTAATGATTAATTCCCATTTCCCTCTAAAGACTCACAACTATTTAAGAGACTTACCACCAGCTGTGGAAAATGTTGCAGTAAAAAAGAATATACTATGTCTATACAATGCTAAGCTTGTGAATGATATGGATGGTAAACAATTCTATGTAACAGAAAAATTAGTTTCCCATCTTGACCTACGGAAAAATTATGTCATTTATTATCAGGAGCTCTAGTATTATATAAAATTAGGTATAGTTGTAGATGAGGTCACAGAGATCTTATCATTTAACCAGACGAACTGGTTGGTTTCATATATTGCAAAAAATACTAAATTATGCTAAAAAACTAAGAATACATTCAAAAAAGACTTCTTCAAATTCATAAGACTATCGAAAATGTTAGAAAGTATCAGGATGTTAAGATTATGGCCTATAATAATGAGTCAGATGAGAAGAAGTTTCTCAAGAAAATCAAAAGTCCAAATTTCAAGTATGGCAGACCACTTGGAGATACGCTAGTAGGTATACATATGGGAAAAGCTAGCATAGTTCTCAATAAGCCAATCATTGTTAGAGCATCAGTTTTAGGTCTTAGTAAGCTTTTAATGTACTGCTTCTGATATGATTATGTGAAAGTTAAATATAAAGACAAGGCAAAGCTTGGATATATGAATACGAACTCCTTTATATTCATGGTTAAGACCGAAGATATCTATAATAATATGGCAGAATAACCAGACCTCTTTGATCTTAATGATTCGAAGACTATTGGGCTTTTCAAAGATAAGACTCCAGGAAATGTGATTACTGAATCATTTCACATTCAGGTGAAATCATATCACTATGTCTTAGCTGATAAATCTACAAAGTCAAAGCATAAGGGGGTCAGCAAGAAAGGTATGAATGAGATGGCTATAGAATCATATATACTAACTTTAGAAGGATCTTTAATTGATGATCTAATAGATAAGTCATTATTAATAAATCAAGAAGTTAAGGATTTAGCAATGCGAACTGATACTAATCCAATGACTCTAGTCTATTAGGATTGTCTCTTCCAGAAAAATGCATTCTATGCTAAGAATATAGGATTCCGATCAAAAGATCATGTTATATCTCTGGTTGAGTCTGAGAAGAAAGCTCTCTGTCTTATAGATACTAAAGCTAGATATTATCAGATAGGATAACCAGCTTGTCTTATAAGTATTGGTCTATCATAGTATACAAGAATATGGTCAAAGATGGTATCCCTCATGAAGTAGCTGAAAAAAGAGCTATAAGGGTTAAACTCCCAGAGAAATATCAAAATGAATGTATGTCTCACATATCTAGCGAATGAAACTAAAATTAATAAAGCTAAAGAATTGCCATAGTTAGATTAATGATATTACGTTTATAGTTATTATATTTTTTTTGTCAAAATAATTAAGCTATCTCCTGCAATATAAAAGGTACAAAGGAGGGGTGATTAATAGACCGTAAAATTCTGCTTACTCTACGAAATTCCTTTTGGGTATTTGATATATAATTGAATGATCAAGAGACTCTAGATAATCTAAAAAATTCATCTTAAATAATATATTAGGATAAGATATCTTGATAATATCTATTAAGTCTGCAATCATGTTTTAATTTTTGAGGGAGATATTTTTTCATATAATCTATAAGATTAAATTTCATTTGTTGAAAGAAGCATCTTCTAATAACATAACCAACTTTTAGGAAACACTCAAATTGTGCAAGATGACTAAAATAACCATCTCTTTTATGTAGATATATAAGGGATTTATTCCATAATTTACTTACACTGCAGTATTTATTAATTTCAGCTTTATTATTATTATCAAATAGATGAAAAAAGATATTATCACAAATGCTGGTAATATTAATAAATTCACTTTTTCTTTTTTTTGAATAACATATATAGATATAGCATTCCATTGGTAGCTTACTCTGGTACAACTCCTATAGAGGTCTTTCCTATTGAGAAAGCCAAAGATAACTTCAAGCAATTCAGATATTTCTAAGGCAAGCATTTATTAATAATTTATTTTTTGATTGAAAAAATTGCAACAGTTCTGCAGTATCACGTCAAAATCGATCTATGATTTGATAATTAACTTCTAACCCATTCAGGTTAAGAATCAAAGGTGTTTAATAGTATCCATAAATAATGTGTATGTAATCTGGTCACATGATACTGCTCCCTTAGGGCTCAGTGTCAGATGACATCCAACGGAAATCCGCGCGGTATCACATGATCACGCAGTTATATCCGGGCGATCTAATTGGCTAAACATAATATAGAGTATATATTTTTTTTACCCGAACTTTGAAGGATAATATCTCGACATCCACTGATCGGATATATGTGAATTTAGGCTTGTTAGAAAGAACAGAACCTGCTGAATCCAGAAGTTCAATTCTCATCAAAATTGGACGGTAGATGTCGAAATATTTGCGTTCCAAGATCGTTACGACAAATCAGACTTTTATGGCTGATTATCATTATATTATACTGTGCCACTGTGACCATGGTGGTCACACCTCTTCTATCGAAAATAAAAAAATTATTATACCTAGTTTTCATACAAATAAAGATGATCCTGCTATCTGAAAAAAATATACATTCCGGTCATGTGTTCGTAGTTTCATTCTAAATTAGTCTATTTTGATTTTAGACCTGGCATGACTTGATACAAACCCATCATTAATACTTTTTTTAATCAGTCATAACCCCTCATTGACCCATCTATCAACCCATCACTACTCTTTATTGACCTGTTATTACTCTTTATTGACCCTTCAATCCAGCATCTAGTTATTTTATGACGCTTAAAAATATAAGGATACTGGAATTCCTTTTCGCAGTATTGACATGTCCGATCATCTAGTTTTTTTTTATGGGTTCTGATTCCTTCTTTTCTACAGTAAAGACATTACGCTGGGATTTGTGAACTGATAGGGGAAT